ATTCACTTAAAATAATAATTTAATCTAATAAATTGCATCTTATAAATCTTGTCACCGTTGTATTTTCTGTTTTTCTTTCTTTATAAATTATGTCCTCTCCATTTAAAAAATGAATAAATATCACCACTTTCCACCACCGTCTTCCACCGCCACTTTCCATTTCTCACTCTTTCTTATATTTTTAAAATTTCTTAAACATTTTGTCAATTACCAAACGCGTTTGTAGTTACGTTTTTCTAAAAATAAACAAAAATCAATTTATAAAATTTTTGTAAATATAAATTGAAAATGTAAACGTCACCAAACAGACTCTGAGTGTTTTTAACATTAAAAGCTGAAACTCTTATAGATGAGTAGATCAATTACAAAAATATTTATTTTCTTTATATATTTTCATGACTTTTATTGATTTGAATCTAACAAAATTTCTCTTACCAACTGTTCATGATAAGGTAGTGGATGACACAAATACTGAACATGTCATGATAATGAAATTATTAAAAAAAATAATCATATTAGGACGTTTGAAGGTGTTTGATATTTGAATGCTCATTATTCATGATAAGGTAATGGAGGAGGCAAAAAATTTACTTGCACTCACCGCTAGTAATAATATAAAATTTACTTGCATTGTTCTGGTAAATTAGATAAAATCAATTGTTTTACAGGAATATGATATATATATGATCAAAACCAAACGATGTATAGATAATTAAAATAAAAAATAAAATAAAAAAACAAAACAAAAACAAAAAGATGAGGGTCTGAGGAAGAGATGAGAAAGAACAATACAACAATACATACCCAAATCTGATGCAAATTGAAGGCCAAGTTATGAACTGATCAACAAGTTCTAGAAGTAAGATGCATGATCTAACTCTAGTTTCATACTTATTATTGTTTAATTGGTCAAGGTGTTTGATTGATAGTAATTGTAATGTTCCAAGCTGTTTGGTTATTTTAACGTGTTTGATGTTTGAAAGTGTTTGAATTTCAAAAGATATATATAGTTGTCTCTGATTTTATTGATATTTAACAAGTTTGGAAGAGTATTTTGGGGATACGTAAAAAGTAGAAAATATGACAATTATTCACACTTTTATAATAGTAGTAGATTAATTCTACTTTATGGTGTTACTTGTTAGCAATTTCTTTTATATTTTTATTTTGAACTTCATTTACAAGCGAATCGGGTTCATGAGGTTACGAGATGGTTAATCCACCATTCGAACCATATTAGTGGATTTTGAAATATTTCATCTGCATCTGTCCGCCAAAAGACATGCATCCCGTCAAAATCAATCAGGTTGAATCGGATTAGTCGGGTTAAGCGAGTTGGACGGATCTATGATCATCCCTAACTTGTATACTTCACCTCTATTACCAAAATATCGAGTATTTAAATAAATTTTACATTATTATAAAACAAAATGATTTGGGATAAGTGCAAAAAAAAAAAAAAAAAAAATAATAATAATAATAATAATAAATAAACTACTTCAAACTATCGGGGTATATGTTCAAATAAACACCCTCAATTTGGAATTTTAAAACACATATATTTTAAGTTTAGGTTGTATTTTGAATATTCAACTTGCCAAGTTTGCGTACTCAATCAATCCACTACTCAACCCATCTGTGCCTTTGATATCATTACAAAATTTAAAAAGGTATGATAAACTGAAAGAAATTAACAAAATATGAAAAAATGAAGACTAAAATCAATGCAACTATATCAGATTGATAATAGTTTTTTTTTTTATACGAAGACTGAGGACAAAAATTATCCATAAATTAAAGGCTATCTCCAAAGTAATCTCATCAAGACTGAACAAGTGTCAGTTACTTGATAGACTAGCAATGAATTTGTATAGGGAACTTTTATCTAGACTTGTACTCCCATTGATTAAAACATTTTTCCACACTTGAGTCCACTCAATCACTGCACCCTACATATTATTTCATTCATTTTTTTTTTTTGTTCCTTTGGTTATTAATTCATCTATCTTGGTTTGTTTAGCCATTGATGAGTTCCACTTCCTTCAAATTGGCATACATGTTCTTAAATGTAGTAAGTCTAAGGACATAAAATGGATTATAGAAAATAATATTGGCCAAACATATGGATTTGTTTAGTTTATTGGTTTATTATATGTCCTTAAATTTATTATTTTAAATAAGGAGTTGTTTGGGGTGCTTTAAATAAGTGCATTTTTTGTCTTTTTGTATTAAAAAGTTGAGAGAAAAAATATGGATGTTTGGGTTAACTTTTTGACTTTTTATGGAAAAATATGTGGTGATCTGTGGGTGTGGTGGTTTCGGCAGTGGGTGTTGGTGTAGCTCAGCGAACTTGTAGCAGCTTGGAGTTTTCTTGTGCTGCAGTAGGGGTGTAGAAGCTTGGAGTTGTTTCCGGTGATGGTTATGGTGTCCTCTCGGCCGGTGTGGGCATGGGGAGGTGGGCGTAGCAGCAGCCTAGGGGTGGCATGAGCTAGCAGCTGAGGTGTGGGGCTTTGGGAGTTGTAGCAGCAGGTGGAGTGGTTTTTGTCGGAGGCGTGGTCTGTGGTTTCTGTTTTGGTGGGCTGACTAGATTAGTTTAGACTTTGTAATGGGTGGTTGGGCTGCTCGGGTGTTGTCTAGTTTCTTTTTAGTTTGTTTTGAGGGTTTTGGTGGAATGATTATGTGGGGATTCATGTAGTTTAATTTTTCAGTTAAATTCTTCTTAACTTGGTTGTTTAAAATATCGAGAGGCTTAGGGGTTGATTGTATGGATGCGAGTACCAGTTGTAGGGGTATTTTTATACTTCTGAATCTCTCTCGATGCATGTCATCTTTCTGTACCTTTAATTTCATGCTGTTAAATGAAATTTTTCTTTGCCGATCAAAAAAAATGAAAAAATATGTATTAAAAAATTGTATAAATTAGTGTGTAGGGAAAAATTAGGATTGGGAGTTGTGCGGCCGTACTTTTTGACTTTTGATGAATAGTAATAACTTTTTAACTTTTTTTCAACTTGTCAAACTTGGCCTAAGTAGTATAATAATACCTTAAAGTAGTCATGGACCTGATAGATAGCCCGCCTTAATTTTTAGAATTTAGAGAAAATAATTAACTCATATGATCAAGTTAGGCTAAGATTTTGAACTCATCTAATTTTAAGATTGGGTTTTGAATAAGAAGTTTAAACCCATCTAGGCCTGGCCCCCATTTCTTTGTAGAGCTTACATTATAACATTTGTTAAAACAATACAAAAAATTAAGGTTTTAGAAAACAAAATTTAGAAATAAAATTATTTTTTAAGGACTAAATATTTTTATTGTGAAAAATGTCATCATTATATTTTTAGCAACGAAAATTGGACATTAGTGATGAATTATTATCATTTTGGGACTAAATTTTTTGCCTAAAAAAACAAACCATTTTGAGACCAAATTATTTTGTCTCTAAAAATCTATTTATTAGTAATATTTTCAAAATTTTGTCGAAAAAAGTCTTGTTTTTGACTTTTCGGAATGACCTTTTAGCGACTATCCTCATAACAATAGAAATTGGTCCTTAAATGCCTTTTGCAACAAAATTTTCACTTTTGAAAACTAAAAATTAATCTCTAAAACTCTTATATGTTGTAGTGAAAATTATGTTTGGTAACGTTTGGTAACGTTTATGTTTTCAGTTTATATTTACAAAAATTTTATAAACTGATTTTTGTTTATTTTTTGTTTATTTTTAGAAAAACATAAACTACAAACGCGTTTGGTAATTGACAAAATGTTTCAAAAAAAATTAAAATATAAAAAAGAGTGAGAAATCAAAATAGAAACACATTTTTTGTGTTTTCATTTTTTGGCCAAATTTATAAACTGAGACCACTGATTTATAAATCAAAAATTTTACCAAACAAGTTTTTATTTTAGTTTTTTAAATTTTTATAAATATAAACAGAAAACAGAAAACGTAAGTGTTACCAAACGAGACCTATATTTAAATTTAATTAATTCTTCAAATTTAAATAATTATTGAAATAAATAATATAGCTTATTAGCCCTTCCGCACACGAATAAATAAATAAACAATAGCTCATATCTTTTAGGTTAAGTGGGTGAGTTTATGTTTGAGAAGTTCTTTAGTGTTGAACTTGGAATGGCTAGGCTTGACATCGAGCCAAACCAAACTTAGAATAACACATATGCCCTTATTATATAATACAAATTTGATCTAAACTCGATCATTCAGTGAGTAGTATAATCAAATTTGAATGGTGGAAGATGTAAATACCAACAATTTTTTTTTTCTCTCTCCCACTCCCTAAAAAATATTGAAAAATAATAGGGCAAATTACATATACCCCTCGAGGTTTAGTAAAATTACAGATACTCCTCTAAGGTTTGAGAAATTACAGATACCCCCTGAAGGTTATATTTGCATAACAAATTAGGGGGTAAATTGTTATGAAAATATAAACTTCAGGGGGCAATTTGTTTTGAAGCTATAAACCTTAGGGGATATCTATAATTTTCGAAACTTCAAAGGGGTATCTGTAATTTAACTAAAGCTCGAGGGAGGTATATGTAATTTGTCCAAAATAATAATAATAAAAAGGTATTAAGGTGATAGTCCAATTATAATAAACATGACCACCAACTTGAATTCATATTGTTTATTAGTATTTTCACCAAGAAAAATTGAACCTAAAAACCTACCACTCATTGCATGTCCCTTTTACCTTCCATGCCACAACATGGTACAATATTTTTTTAACAGTCATCATTAAATATTTTTTCAACGCTCTTTCTTATTGTCTAAATGCAAAATCAATAATTGATCTACTTCTAGGTTGAATTTGGTGGTTTTGGGACAATTTAAGAGTCATTGATGAAATAACTTCAATACACATCTAACATTTTGAAAACAAAATTGAAATCAATTTAAAATATTAGAACCAATTAAAATCACACAACTTGAAATTAAGTGCTACACATGGGACTTGATACTGGCATTATCTATTTCACAACCTTCAATCAAAATTTCATTTATTTCTCTAACCATATGTATGCAAACATAATTCCAATAAACAGAGAAAATTCACTAGCCATACTACAATTTACATACCTAATTTTATCTTTCGTTGCCAAACATTGTCATTAATTCATTAAAACATTGTCAAACCCTCATTAACAATCGTAAAACCTCCATCAACTATTAAATTATGCCCGCTCACATACTTAGACTCATCACTAGCTAGATAGAGAACAGCACGAGCTACATCCTCAGGCTTAAGAGCCACCCCAGAGAGGTTAGAATACAAATTGTCCAACATATCATCATCTTCCAAGTTCAAGAATTTCCTCGCCATCTGTGTTGGGACGGCATAAGGCGATACACAGTTCACTCGAATGCCGCATTTTCCGAGCTCGACAGCGGTGTTTCGGGTGAGCCCTAATATGGCGTGTTTGGAACAAGTATAAGCATGGGTGGCTACGCCACCAAACACCGAGCAAATGCTAGCTGTGTTAACTATGCTTCCATGCTGCACCGGTTGCATCACGCGAGCTGCGTGTTTTGTGCCTAGAAATGCACCTGTTGGTGTTCGAGAAAATTGGTAATACTAGTAAACTGATCAGGACCGAATCAAACTTAAAGAACAATTAGGTTTCATGTTCAAATAATTATATTTGTTAATGGGGGTTTGGTTCACAGATTAAGGAATGAATTTTAAAAGGAGTGACTAGGCTTTGGTTCCAAACATAAAACAATAATAGTCCTGGAAACACGATGAGACACAAAATGGTTCACAGAAAATGTAATGGTAATGGAAGAGTGAGATTAAAGCCAGTTATGGAGGGTCTACATTCAAAACAAATCATAGTCAACCATTATGCTTTTTGTGATCCATTTTATATTTTAATTATATTCTTAGCATTAGTGAACTTTTGTCAATTTTTGTTTTTTTTGTTTTTAATTTTTAGGGTCTCCTAGTTTACTAAGATCTAAAACTGAAAAGCCATTTTTTCCCCCCCTTTTAAATTCATTAAATACAAAAAAGAATAAACAAAAAAGTTATTAAAAGGCAATTGCGAAACCAACTATAAGAAGAAATTTGTTCCTTATTTTTAATTAATCTTACTTTGTAAATTATAAGTGTGTATGTACTTTTAATTAATCACTCACCCTATATATAAAGATCTATGTATTTTTGTTGAGTATTTTTTTCAGTATTTGTATGATTTTTCCACTTCTTATAGTATTGGAAATTGTTTCCATTTAATAATTAGTAAAAACAAAGAATAAAGAATATTCTTAAAATTTGAAGTATTCTTGTGGTTTATTTTATTATATTTTTAGAATGTTTCTATAAGTATAACCAATTTTGATCGAAATTAAATACTCCGAATATGGTGATCAATTAATTAGCTTAAAACCATCAGACCGAACTGAAAACGAACTAGTTTTTACACTTTTCATTCAGTTTAATTCCTAAATTTTTGGAATAGTAGTAATTGATTTAGTTCTTGATTTATCTTAAAACCGAACCAAGTTAGACCATGAACACCCCTTTACCTATGAGATTAACGCGAATGACACTCTCAAACTCAGCTATGTCATTTTGAAGAATGCTGGATCTTCTGGAATCCATGATTCCTGCATTGTTGAACATTATGTCAAGCTTGCCATGTTGGGCCACAACATTGTTAATGGCAGTTTGGACATGGATCTCGTTTGTGACATCGCAATGGACAAAGGAAGCATGAGTTGTGCCGATGTCATTGCAAATCGAGTGGCCCTGATCGTCTTGTACGTCGGCAATCACGACTTTGGCACCCTGTTCGCAGAATAACTTGGATGTGCAGGATCCAATGCCGCCAACCCCGCCTGTGATCAGGGCAACTTTTCCTTCCAATCTAATGTTGCACAAAAATTAAAAATAAATTTAAAATGTAAGAAGTTAAAAGTGTTGGAGAAGATTCTCGTCCTATATAGTGGGTTTGTTTTGATGCAATTATTTCAAAATTGAAAATTGATAATTAAAAAGTTAGAAGTTAAAAATACCTCTACTCTTAACTTTTTTTTTTTATAATTGACTCCAACTTTCTTACCAAACACTTGACAAAATTAAGGTATACTATGATATAAATTGAACAACTAATTTGGTATTGCTTCTCCTCCTGCCTTGTGGCACATTGAATTCTTTATTAAAAAAAAAAAAAAAAATTAGATAACAAAGTGCACGAGGCTCGAAAAGCCTTCTTTACCGAGTTCAAGGTCTAAGGTTCCTCAAGTTCTTTAAAAAGAAAGGATAATGCTATGATGCATGTATGAGCACGCAATATTCGCTACAAGTATAATCTTGATAACCAAGCTGGCGATCCTCCAAAAGTTGTCATTCCTCCTAAAATCACAAGAGTGTGAGCTTACCAGCGGGTATGTGCCAGAAAACCCCTTTGATGCTTAAATTAGCACTCAGGATCAATATGGAAGAAAAGCTCTGTGAATTCAAGAACTAAAGTTTCATTATTTGATATTAGGTTAGTTTTGTGCTTTTGCAAGTTTCACACAACAATATCGTAATAGGACACTAATTCCTCACTTAGAGTCCCACCAGGAATAGCATTCCTAAATGATAATACTTATCATTTCACACCATTCTCACTGCAAGCTATATGAGAGGGTTCAAAAACGCCGTTGGAAAATTCGAAGATCCTTGAAGAAAAAATTCGAATTCTCTAGAAGATAATAAGAGGCTTACATTCTTCAATAATCTCAACTAAGAACACAAAAGCAAAGAGATGATGGAGATAAGAAATTGGGTGAAGAAAAAGGCAAAGTAATTAGAGAAAGAATAATGGCAAGGCTCTCCCATGGATCTCCCACTTTCACTCTCAACGTTGATAATGGAGAAGGGAAATTAGTTCTTTCTTAAGAGTTATCTCTCCAAAATCCATCCCTTGTAAAGTTATATGTGGGCGTTATTTATAGACACCTCATAATATAGAATGGAGCCCATGTGCAAGGCACATGGGGAATATTCTCTCTAACTACCTTGTCCGAGGAGGTGACCTCTCCGAGGATGATGAAAACACTCGAAGAGGAGATCAATCTCTCGGCTAACCCTTCTTCTTAGCCACACCTAACCAATGATCCCCAATCATCCCAAAGGATTAAGGGTAGTCCCAGCGGACGCCCTGCCGCATAAGGGTCAGAGGTAGTTCAAGAAAACGTCCTGCCGCAAATATTGCCGAGTCTTAGGGACCCTCCTATATCATGCCATCTCGACCTGAGTATAGACTAGTTTAATCGAAAAGTGAATTTATCTCCACTCACCGTTATCGGAATCGGGTCCTTTGTTCGAACTCCATTACGCCCATGGTTCTGGTGCGTAGATTCCGGAAAGCTGCGAGCCCGCAAGTATTCTGAGACTCATTAACGGAACGACTTCTAGATTGCATCTGAATTCGTTCGAAGCCAAATGCTTTGCATCTCTAGGTTCGTGGATCCGAACCCTTTCGAGTCCGAGTGCCTCGGATCTCCAGGCTTGCTCAATATCCTTTCGAGTCTGGGGCCGAGTAAGTCTCTAAGTTCGTGGATCCGAACCCTTTCGGGGCTTAGAGCGATTCAGCTCGTTTGATGGTGATAAGTCCGGGCCCACCAATCTTGGACTTGTGATAAATTCGGGCCCACCAACCTTGGACTATTGGGCCAAATTAATTTAATGGGTTCAAATTAGCTCCTCTTACATAGGCCAAGTGTGATGACACAACCATTGGCGCGGCAACCAACCGAGCAACCATATCACTTAACCCTTGTTGGTTCTTAAGACAACCATGCAACGCACAACGCCATGCTAGGTCGCACAACACGTCACCATGCTAACGCTGCGGGACACTCCATCTAACTTAGCCTAAAACCATGTTGAATTTGCCCCGCCAAATATCAAGGCACAAATTTCCCCCTCAATACACATCCTCACAAAGGTGTGTGTCATATGCAAGTTATGCCATTTGTGAGTTTAATTATAACAAATGGCATAATTTAACACTAACGGAGTCATAACTTAAAATAAATAAATAAATTGAGTAATAATTAAATATCACATGAGGTATAACCACACAACTCTTAGATCATAACCAAAATAATGTTATAACCAACATCACAATGTGTTATAACAACAACACAATATATTATAACTAGAGATATAAAAGTCGTAACTAAAAGTGCATATGGTACACACTCTAATAGAATTCTCATAAAAAGAAGAAATTGTAAGTAACTTAATAAATTGTATAAAATAAACCCTACTAAATGTCAAATCTAGAGAATATATCAATATTGATTGCGGTGTAATAGTATTGGGAATTGTGTATCATAGTTGTAAATTTTTTTAAATCATCAATGGCAGAAGAGGAGTATTGTACCCTTTGGTGGCTTACTTTCATCCATATCATTTGTTTTGTAGGGCTTAACAAGTAAATTTTTTGTATAAAAATCATATTGATCAAATATTATGTGATAAAATTATATTCGTCTTTAAAAATATAAACCGCAAATGTTATTTTGGGAATTGTTTTTTGTTTTGTTTTTTGTTTTGTTTTGTTTTTTTTAAATATAAGCGGATCTAAAAAGTGAAATAATTTGCTTAAAATATTTAAAAAGTTCAATAAAACTAAAAAAATAAAAAAAATATATATTTTTTTAAAACTAAACTGAGTGATTTAAAAATTTCAAATAGTCAATCTCTATTGGTAGCTGTCCCTCTTTGATGATGACCTTTAATTGTTTTAATAGAATTAAACAATATTAAATAAGATATTAATATTGTAAATGTAAAAATAAAATAAAATTAAAGTGAAGGTTTTTGACAGCTTAATGGGATCCCATGACCCTATCACTACTCAGTTGGGCTCTTATTTTTTTAAAATAAATATGAGCGGATTATTTAATTATTAATATTTGGCTAACATTTTTTTTTCTTCTTCTTCTTTTTTTTCTTTTTTTTGTATGAATGGTTTTTTCAACAATCTTATAAAATAAATCATTCGAATAATAAAATAAATTCAGGACATGCTCACTAAAAATCACAACAATTCTAACCGATTCAAGGCACAAGAAGGACCCCTCTCCCTTTAATCTCACACCTACAAAGCCTTTGGCTTAAATTTGGCCAATTAATATCATGAAAAAGTTTAGAAATACAGAAATCAATTACATAATTAGACACAATACTAAGGTGAGTCTCATCTTTTTGTTAATCCCACATCATTGTAAAAAGAATTGTAATTAGTTTTGTGATTGATTTATGTACAAATAAAAAAGAGAATTGCAATTTTAAAGAGGGGTTTTACATACCTTCTGGTAGCAGTAGAGAGTACTGAGAAACCTCTCATGGTTGATTTTGAGGACTTGTCAAATCTCTTAGAAGCACTGCCAAAGGTCTTAATAAATAGGATATATATATGACCTATATCTACTGAAACATGAAGGAAATCAAAGAGAGAAACAATGGTAAAACAATTGCAATATTTGCAAAGAGAAACAGAAACTTATATATATGGGGAATTGAGTTCAAATGAGAACTAGTTTCACCCTACAGAATAGGTAGACTATTCTTGGAACCATTGGGTCCATTAAAAGACTTTGTTAGAAGATATTTTTTGCATGGTTGTGGCTTGCACGTCAAAATCTCTCTCTCTCTCTCTCTCTCTCTCATCCATGACAACTGGAGCTCAATCTATAATTGACAATGTTGAAGCTCCTCTCCATACTACTATCATCTATATTCCTTCATATTTTATTTTGCGAGTTCCATTTTGAGTCCACAACACCATTCATCTCTTAAATCTTTATGTTAAAGTTATTTGTGCAAAAAATTAATTTTATCAAAAATCGATAAATAGATGAACAAGTTGCATTTTTGTTTCATAAAATGGACTATTTAAATTTAAACATATAATTATCATTCATTTAAAAAATAAAATGTAATTTGATCTTGTGTCTAATGACATTCGGTGAAATTAATTTTTTACACAAGTCATCTTTATTGTTGAACGGTTCGAATTATTGTTGTATGTTTGGAATTAGACCTATAAAATAAAGTGTAGAGAGGTATGGAGGGGAACAATTCCCTTGAAGTAGTTGCTTGAGTCATGGGTCTTTCCTCCTCAAATCTTTCTCTTTCTTTGTATCAAAATATTTATAATTGTTAAATCATGTCTCGAAATTTTTGCATAATTCAATGGTTGTGATTTTTTTGAGACAAAGAATAAGGAAATTTAGAGATAAAAGGTAGTGGGAGCCGAATAAATGGATTCCTAATCGGCAAACGGGGCACATCCAAACCCATCAATGATGGGCCAAATTCAGTCAAGGCCCACTGGGCTTAAGCAATTCATTGCCGAGTGGACCACATAGGTTGAAACACATGACCAGGACAAGATTTAGGGGTTATTTGGGATGATCTATATAAGTACATTTTTTTGACTTTTTAGCTAAAAACGTAGATAGAGAGAGAGAGAGAGAGAGAGAGAGAGAGAGAGAGAGAGAAATGTACGCTTAAGATAACTTTTTGGCTTTTTACGAAAAAGTGTATAATAAAATATTATGTCAAATATTAAAATTTTGACTTGTACCCTTCCAGACACATACTGATAGGTCCATCAGTGCATCAGTGCATGTCAAAATTTTGTTGACTTTGGAAATTCATGGCTTACAATTAGCCACGTCAATGCCTTTGGTAAAATTTGTAAGCATAAGTACATTTATCAGCACTGACATAAACTCAAAAGTGTTGAATTAAAAAGGCCAAATTCGTAATTTTTCTCTCTGTCTATTCAGTATTTTTTTTCCGCCCAAACCTGTGAATAGTATTAACTTTTTTACTTTTTTAGTGACTTTTTGACTTTTTAACTTTTTTAAGGAATGCCAAACATCCACTTAGGGTCGAGTAATGAAGTGAGGTCGGCATGATAGCCCACTTTGTGAAGGCCCAAGCTATACCTTTCTAGGAGGTGTAGTAGAAGGATGGGCCCTAACATGGCAATGATGAGAAACAACATGAGAAAATATTTGGAAAAGTGTCTCTATAAAAGGAAGGTAATGACAAATGAGGAGGTAGGCTTTAAATACTAAAAAACTCTAAAACCTAAGAAAACTCTATCTTCTGATCAAGGAACTAACTTGCCCATCAGAGTGCTAATTCCGTCACACTCGACCTGACTGTTTTCTTATTTCAGGCATCGGAGTTAGGATATTTTAAGGACTTGTTTGAAATGAAAGAGTATTGTAAAATCACCCCTCAAAAAGGTCTTTGGTCGATGCTTGAAAAAGTTACACCCAACTCAAATCCTTCTAATGTGGAATCATGTGAGTGTGTCTCTTTTGTCTGTTCTGTATGTATTACGTATTGTCGTCTTGTAATTTGTTTTTTGGGGCTACGTCCGTAGGCTCTATTTGAGATTTACTCAATCTACGTAAAGGGGCACTTTGCGTAAGTTCTGGCATTAGTCAAGGTGTGCATAAACCGATCCAAATACCTGATCATCAAAAATAAATAAATAAATAAAATAAGGGCAAACTTAACTTTACACCCTTGTGGTTTGGACTGGGTGCGGATTACCCTCCTGACATTCGGAAATCACCACATAACCCTCTATGTGGTTTGTGGACTAAAACGTACATTAACTTCTGTTAATAGAACGTGTAAATTTACCTTTATAACCCTGTCTTCTTCTTCTTCTCTCTTTTAAAAAACCTGCAAATATACACACACACACACATATATATATACATATATATATATATATGTATACACACAGACAGAAAACAACAAGAAGAGAAATTTTTATTATGTTAAAAAATTTGGGATTATGTTAAAAAAAAAAATTGTTATGTTAATGCTATTTGAGATCCAAACTCGATTGAAGCTCCTGGTTTACACACACACACACACACATATATGTTTATATATATGTATGTATATACACACAGACAGAAAAGAAGAAGAAGAAGAAGAAGAAGAAGAAGAAGAAGATAAATTTTTGTTATGTTAAAAAATTTGGGATTATGTTAAAAAAAAATTTGTTATTTTAAAGCTATTTGAGATCCAAACTCGATTGAAGCTCCTGGTTTATATCCGAGGGCAAGTCATTCACAAGTGACAATGATACATACATGGATTGCTTTGTTTTTGTATCCAACTTGGAATGTGATAAACATGAAGGTCTGGTTTTGAAGGTAGAGCAACAACCCATTAAAGAGGATTAGTTGAATTTGATCATGGAAGATTTATGTTCTGGTACCAAACAAGTTCCATCTATTGAAATTCATCCTCAACATTTGGAGTTCTTTATTGACCATGATGGTTTTGGGTTGATTCCTGAGAGGGTAATTTATATATGTAAACTGGGTCGAGCTAGGTAATGGGCCGTTGTGAGCCACGGTAAGAAGGGCGGAGTAAAAGGGCCTTGGCGTTAGCCCGGTCCCCAAAAGGCCTTGTTGTTATCCCGATCCAAGAGAGCGTTACAGACAGCCCGGTCACCACACTCAGAGTTAGCCCGGTCGTGGCATGTTGTGGTTAGCTCGGTCCAAACCTTGCTATTTCTTAGCTCGGTCTAAACACACCATGGTTTGTACAGGAGAAGCTGAGGTAAGAGCAGTGAATGGAAGAAGCCGAACTGGATTTAGTTCGGTCTACTCTGCGGCTTAGCATAAGCCATCCTTACCTCGGTTATATTGAAATCCGAACATGGTAAAACCATCTCACTTGGTTTAAGCAGTGAGGGGGGTGTTGAAGGATAAGCATTATCTTTTAGGAATGTGATTCGTAGGAGGACTCAACATGGAGGAATAAGAGTCCTACTAGGATTGTGCCACGCGGAACCTATAAAAACTCATAACATCACCTATGAAGAGGTAACACAACTTTGATTCCCGAATACGCAGAGCTTTTGTCTATTTGTCTGTTTTTCTAACTTAGACATTGGACAGGTATCCGGCACACACCCGCCGGCTAGCTCACGTTTGTGTTTTCAGGGATTAAAGCGACATCGTATGGAGGAGCGCAAACTTGATCAACAGGATTATACGAGAAGGTTTATTTCTTTTTCGTACAATTGGCGCCATCTGTGGGAATACCAGACAAAGAACAAAACCTCTTGATCAAGTTTCCCTTGCTAATTGAATGGCGCACAACGAAGATTTGCCACAGTCCGCCATTGACGGACAAACCCCAGATGGGGGTGGGAGGCGCGAAAGATTGCCCTCTATCCCTCCCATAGCGGACTTAGAGCCCCAGCGACAGAATCCCCGGAGGGATGCAAGGGGGAGGCGGAACAATAGCCCCCGTCGCTCTCGCTCACAAAGTCTTGAAAGGCAAAGGCGAAGAATTGACCCTCAAGCTCTGGAGGATCGCGTAAAAGAGCAAGATGAACTAATAAGGAAGGTAGCGGCGGACATGGAGGCCATGAAGAGCCAGATCAGGGGAAAACGGGTGGCGACAGGAGAGGGGCGCAAAGGCAATACGACTCCTCGCCACTCAGAAGATCGTGGTAGACATACCACGCCATCGCAAACAGAGAGTAAAAGCCTCAGGACAGGAGACACTCAATCAAGGACTTCCAAAACTCGTTACTCTAGGTCTGAGAGAACGAGATCATTGAGGTCTTACACTGAGGGAAGTACCTATCGGCCCTCACACACGCACCAGAAATCATCCAGGCAAATGGAGTTGCCAAGATCGTCTGACTTACGGGCTGTGATTGAAGAAAGGGCGCGACAGAAGGAGGATGCCAGAGCACGCGACCCGTACAGAGTTTCAGCCCTTCAGCAGTTAGCTCCTCGGACGCATGGAAGCGTCGAGGTTAGAATGCCAATACCGCACCTTGCCTACGAACCAACAGATAAAGCGTTGGCAAGACTATATAGCTCGCCGTTCGTTTTGGCAATTGAGAGCGCACCATTACCCTCAGGCTTTATCCAGCCTAAATTTACCACGTACGAAGGGAAGACAGACCCTTACATGCACCTAAGCCACTTTCGCCAGCTTATGGCAGTATACCGGCAGAACGAAGCTTTGATGTGCATCCTATTCCTATCTAGCCTTGGCGACCTAGGTTTAACCTGGTTCAAAAGGCTACCAGAAGGCAGCATAGCCTCATGGGCGCAATTAGCGGAGGCGTTCGTGACATGATTCAGAATGAACACCAAGATGCCAGTGGAGATTGATCAGCTACTCTCCATTGACATAGATGACAAAGAAACACTGAGGTCCTACAACAGTCGTTACTGGGAGACGTTCAACCAGATGGGGGATTGCCCCAGCAATCTCGCCATCGCACAATACAAAAGAGGACTTCCAGTGGGAAACAGATTAAGGGATTCGATTACTATGACTCCACCCCTCACAATGGAAGCCTTGATGGAAAGGGTGCACCAACATATTCGGGTGGAGGAGGATGGCACCCGTACCAAGGCAAAATCTGGTGTAACAGCAACACTAGACAAGAAGACTACAGCAAAGGTCAATACGGTAGAATGTCAAAGCAAGAATGGACGAGGCAGGTGAGACAACGAAGTGGAACGAGATAAAAGATGGTTGAGAGCCCGCACTGCCATTACCACGGTATTCAAGAAACCAATCTACCGGATTCTCAGTGAGATACGCGATGAACCTTTCGTCAAATGGCCAACTAAATTGGAAAAAG